TCTAAACTGAAGAGAGCCAAATAGAAGAAACACAGATTGAAGGAAACCAAATTGAAGAAAGTCAATTAGAAGAAAACTTTATTTATTGAGATATACTTAAAAAGTATAGAAATAGAGAAAATAAAACAGTCTAGCAATATGAACTATGTCTTACATAGGATTGTAAGAAAAGATAGCAAAATAGATCAAATAATATGTTCAACTAACTCAAAAAACACTTTACTGATAATAGTAAAAGCAGCAATAATAATGATATATAGTAAGAAATTGAAGAGTTTTAGAGTATTGACAATATAGTTATATGTATTAATCCATTCTCTACTGTCTTTAGTAAATTTGATAAAAAACTTCTAAAAAAGTTTCGCAGTAAAGTAGATAAATTAAAATATATACTTTGTCTCATATACAATAAATATTTCTTATCAATAGCACTTGTTAAAGGAGAATATCATCATTGCTATACTAAGATAACTTTATCGAAGAAATTCTTATTAGAAAATAATATGAATTTAGATGAAGTATCTGAAGAACTCCAAGAACTTATAGAAATTGAAGAGATGCTAATTGCACAGGTATTCCTGATAACAATAGTTTATAAACTTTATAGAGGACAACACAGATATAGTAGAAATGTAATTAACTTTCCTCAAGATATAAGTAAATTTACAACTCATCTTCTCTGATATCTATCTTCATTAAATATACTTATTGTATGTTAGCAATCTAAAAGAGATCCAGTTGTATTTAGAGACTTTACAGTTTGTCAAGACAAAGTTATTTATGCTTTATCTTAGTTAAAAGCAAATAATCACTATTATTCTGAAATTACTATTGATAATAAAAATCTTCAATCCTTATTTGAAAATAGTTTTATTGATAACTAACTTCAGAATAATCAAATAATAGATGATAATTTTAGTGAAGAAAGTGAAGATAGTGTAATTACACATATCTTCATATTTTTTCTTTCTTTAGATGATCAAGAAAATATTGCTATAAATAATACACTCAATTATATAATTACTAATAGTGATAGCATAGCATGACTACAGATCGATAGCAATTCTATTAATGAATTTAAGATATCAGACTACATTGTACATGCATTTCCAATACTCTACCTAACTAGACATGCTGATCTTCATATAAAACATTTTAGAGATATCAAACTAGCTTAATATTTTAAGTATTTATTACAATATAAGAATAGAAGGTTTACTCATTATACTCATTAGCAGTATTTTGCCCTTAATTTCTAGATAAGATAGTGAGTACTACAGAAAGGAAAAGTGTATATTAAACAGAACTTTGATAATAATTAACTTATAGTTACAGAAATTTAGAAAAAGATAGCTGAAGATAATATATATATAGCTGATTGAGTTATAAAATTTGAACAAAGTATATGTAGATATTTCTTCCTTTAGTTCTTCTATAGTCTTTCTTTTCTTTTTATTTTTCTCTTATAACTTTCTTCTTTTTTAGTTATTTTTTTGGTAAAGCTCTCTTGAATATTTCTTTTATCTGTAG